AGAGAGAAGATTTCCTTTTTAAAAAAAAAAAAAAAGAGAAAAAATGAATAGTGTTCCCTATCAGACAATGAAATTTTCATAAAGATATCTTAATAAAGGGGATCTTTCACTCTGAATTTAATCAATAGAAAAAACCGCTATAAGGTAGAGGCGTGTCTCACATCCTGGAACGGTAGCATTCTTCATTGGTCGGGTGGATCTGTACATTTAAGAGTGTATTTGTTAATGTTTAACTACAAAACTTAACAGATCTATTCTATGCCTTTAGACTTTCGGATATCAGTTAAGTTCCTTTAACTAGAAGCATAGTATAGTGGTATAGTGATCACTACAAGTCCGAGTTTGAATCCCCTGCTCATTTTTAAGAATGTGTATAATTACTCATCTTAAATATAACCAATTTCTGTTTTAAAGAATTAGTAATTTAATCTCATCTTGTGCAATAAAAACCGTATTAGAAAAGGCTTAGAAAGTGTAGTTTTAAGGATTTTAATATGAAAATGTTTATTCATCAAAGATATCTTACCTAATCCCGAACTATGAATGAAAACATGACATCTTAAAGATGGTTTAGTTCATTTTACACTGCAATTACACTGTCGAAATTACAAATATCGCTGGTCCGCAGGTGGAGATTTTTCTATTGTATTGAACATTATTACAACCCAACGTATGCTCACGGTCTCTGCAACAATATACTATATTCTGTCTATAGTACATAAAAAATTGTAATTATATAATATAATTATGAATATTTTTTTATATATTACACGTTCGCCTACAATTATATTCATGTCTATAATGGAACAGAGATTCATATAGAAATTGTAATAATTATCGATATTTATAGTATTATCTTGTGAAATAATTATATTGATATGTCAATAGGATTTAGGATATATTGAATGTATGAATATGTTAAATGATATTTACCAAAAACATACTTGTACATATCAATTATATACAATATGAGAATTAGTCGCCAAACGATTACATATACTACTTACTCGGATGAGTTGTGTTTATTTATTTCAAATCTATTAATATTAAAATTAATAAGTATCATTTCTTCTAAATAATCTAGTTTAAATTTTGAGATCGATAGTATTATTAAGATATTGTATTTAAATATACTTGTAATCAGCGTTTTACTTATATATTTCTAATCAACGTTTCTTTGTACATACACTTTATCAGAATCAAGAGAAGTATGAAGATGTATAGTTATGTTTGTGAACTTCGTTACTTTATTATATCTGTTCTGATTGTGGTGTCCTATGTTTTCTACATTGTCACATGTGTCTGGACAATTATGTATCAGATACGGAAGACGTTGTCTTGACACTGGGAAATCTTCCTTTACAGACCCGGGACGTTGTGAGAAACTTTCACAATACGGGAACAAATCATGGTGTGGATTTGTGGGCAATAAATGTCGCTGTAGGTCCAATACAGTTATAGCAAAAGAAATCATCGACAAACTTTCTAGAGAACTGATTGACTATGATAGTTAAGATAAATAAAGGATATATTTTTTAAGAAACTTCACACAAACGTTGCCCGGAAAAGTTAGTATTTGCAAATTGAAATGACAATCAAGTGACATATTAATAAGAATTCTAAAACAATAGAGAACATTCATCCGCTCTTAAAACTACAAGTTCTTCAAAGTCAGTATGAAAAGGACACCAAAAGACACCAACAACCAAATATAGCATGTGTCGTGTGAAATACGAATAAGTGTAGTTTTATTAATTCTATGACATTATATTAAACAAATAAATTATTATAAAATGTATGACGAAGACAATGATTGGTACAATAACTCATGAAATAATATGTTCGTACCTTCTTTCTAATACCCATTACTTTGGGCGAGGGCTTGGGGTTAGGAAATGAAATAGAACTTTTTTATATGTCAGAAGATTCTTTTAGAAGCTCAACACTCAACCGATATGTTATAATATAATGTATAACTAAAATGTAATCACCAACACGAAAGATTAAAAGCTCGCATTAAAAATGACTTAGATTAATTCTCCGTGTAAAAAAAATGACTTAGATTAATTCTCCGTGTTAATGAATGCTGATATACAAAAGTCAGGAATTTTGTGCCTTCCTGAAGATAATATTGATAATGTTATATGCATATTTGACTCATACATTCATCATTTCAAAAAATTCAGACATGTATACAGCGACGGTTATAAGCTAAAACCTTAATATGGCATGTTCCTCGGAAAATGTAAATACAAGTAGATCATAAATAACAATAAGGCCAACAATTTTGCTAAATGTTCCGATTTCAATTTGTTTCATTTATATACAATTGATTTTGATAGTATCTTTGCCGTATTAGTTAAGTATCTTTGCCGTATTAGTTTATTTTTTTCATTTCTCTATTAGATACATATTTTCTATTATCAAAATAGTGTATGTGCACATACATGTTTTCAAAGGAAAATATATGCATAATTCCGTGAACTTCCATGTCAGCCCTTGTTATGTGTAATAAGGATGAAATAAAAACATTTGCAGGTATGGAATACTCTTCAGCTCTGTACACTGATAAAACGTTTCACTTTTTATGTGTAATATTGTCTAACAAATCATGACTGATGTATCATCATTTTAAAATTTTCTTTGTAAACCATTTTACAAAGACTGATTGAAAGCTTCCTTTGATTTAACAGAAAACCTGTGGGGATTATGTTTTGTCTCTGACACTGTTTTTGAGCGTTATGAGCTTTTGAGAAATATTTATATAAAAGGTATTCAAAAGAAAGCATGATAAAATATGATGTACAATGTATAATGATTGTCAATAATAACGCGTAACCGATAGAAAATAACTTTTATTCATTCAGTGTTCTTTTAGAGAGAAACACATTTATATACAAAATGGTGATGCCGCCGGGCGTGTACTATATTTTCTTTTAGACGAATTAACAGACTTCAATCTTTCTTTGGACTCCGAGGAAGGAATGTTTTTACTGACTTTTTATAAAATCATTTCTCGTTAGGGCTTACTGTGAAATCAAAGGATGTGTTAAAGTTTCACTACTTCCGGCCTTAATTTTCATTAAAGTGTTCCATTTCATGAAATGTCGTTTCGCTCTTCGTTTTATATTGATTTGGGAAAAAATATCATTTTATCAAATTGTTTTACAAACAGTATAAGAGGTGTTGGAAAGTTATTTGTTGATTGAGATTAATCATTACAGCAAAGCGTGCCTAATCAAGAAAAGTGTTACAAAACTTAAATGTATGCTTAACCTTAATAATATATATAACCAAGATGGCCTTTGTTGTAAACAATTTCGCATCTATAGCAAAATAGAACAGAAACGTTAGTCCAAACTTGTACTGAGTTTATCATGCTTAACAAATGTAAATCTTTCAAAAAATATGTGTAGTGCTATTTCATCAAATTCTAACAAAGACGCTAAATGAAAACAATGTTGCTTAATATATATACTGTAACGAAAACGACATATATGTAAAACATCAGTGCACTTGGGCGCCGGAAGATAACTATCTGTCTTGTAACCCGTTCCTTTGTTATGCTTTTTGTTAAGTTTCAACAAGGCGACTTCTCTGCTTAACCTGTGGAGCAAGACCTCTTTGTCTCCGTGTATTAGTTCAGGCATGACACAGGCTGACACACACAGCGTTCGGTTCAATAGCTGGATAGCTTCCTCCAAAAGGGAAATAAATCCAAACGTTGCTCGGATTCCTAACAAACATGATGTGTCTGATAAAAGAAATTTGTATATGACACACTTCTGTCTGGTTTATTAAGTATATGAAAGATGTAAGCGAAAAATAATTTGTTTTTATTAATACACTTTGACCCAAGAACCTCATTTATCAATAACTAAAACTGTTTTTGTTTCTCAAAAGTTAACAGTCATGATACAATGTTTCATTTTTCATGGCGACAATAAAATGTCGCAAGAGAAATAAATTATTAGATATGAATTATTTATTAGAACAATTTGTCCACATCTTAATTAAGTCAAATTTCATCTCGTGATTTAAAACTTTGAAGAATCCATAACATCAGATCAAGTAAATGTATGTGAACAAGAACAAACATTTATTCCATAGTCACAGTAATGAATGACGTGAAATTCTTTTACACGCTTTCCAAGTGCTTCATCTTATCTCAAGGTAAATATCGCTGTCCTCATACTAAATTTCATATTAAGGTAAAACACAAATTTCTGTTTTTGAGAGTTTAACAACATAAAACCACTTATCTTATCCTAAACCTGAGAGATCACTTATTACTGCCAGTTTAACTTCGATGTTTCACTTTTGGTGTTGCGTTTGAAAGATTAAGTATTAGCTTTATTTGCATATCAGTAGTGAGAACTATTATAAACGGAGCCTTTAATATATTAGAAGGCATTATACTGCTGAAGATTGGATATATTTTGAACAAATCAATATCGCAATATTAATATAATACACCTAACATTATAGACAAGACTCTTCCGCGTGCTTAACTCATAATCAATATCATACAAAACCATATAATTAATATCTTTAATACCGATTTTACTGTACACTCAGTCAACAGTTATCCCAAGCTAGATAGTGCTAACAAATGTAACAAATATGTATCAACATAATGCTGATGCATCAGATATAAATCGACTTAATCCTGATATATCAAATACACGTATTAATATAAAAACTTGATGATGATATATAAAATATAAATGAATAAACCTAATGCTTATATATAGATTTGTATCAAACTAAGAAAGTCGTTATATCCCATATATCATTTATATACAAAATCGTTTTATTCCATAAATGATTTATATACAAAATCCCTTTATCACATACATCATTTATATAGATAGTCCTTTAATCCGATGCATCATTTATATAAAAAGTCCTTTTATCCCATACAACATTTATATAGAAAGTCCTTTTATCCTTTTCATCATTTACATACAAAGTCCTTTTATCCCAAATATAATTCATATACAAAGTGTTTTTTTTATCTCATACATCATGTATATAGAAAGATAGAAAGAACATTTTCAAAATCTAAATTCGATTTTTCTGTTTAAATATATATTATTATTTTTATTTATTTAATTGACTGTTTACAACAATTGATCTGCCCAGTCAGAAACAATTTTTAAACGTTAAAATAAAAGGATAATTTGTTATCTATGCTTCTTTTTCTTTACACGGTGTAAATGCTATTGCAATTTAAAAGGCATTAAATCAGCGTATAGAATTTCAGCTTAATTAAGCAGTGGCATTATTGTTTCTAATAAATTATTTATAATTATCCTAACATTTAAACGCATGCTGTGGTTTTAATAGTCGCTATCAGACTGTAGAATTGCTTCCTACTGTAATAGAAAGAATAACATTTCCAGATTTACTGTTTTAACTTAAAGTTGAAAGCACTTTAATTTTCTGACAAAGACAACGTGATTAAAATGGTTTTGGAGAAATGGATTTTAAGATGAAACAATTTGTGAAATAAAGGTACTCCCATATTAATTTGATTATAAATCTTATGAATATTATTCCAAGAACTATCATTTCATAATTCTAGCATGACTTGCGATTTTTGTCACTGTATAAAAAGAAGAAAAAAGCCGGTGTATAACTGTCGTTAAACACCACCTACGGACTACATGTGCGAGTATTTGCGACAATTCTGTTTATATATGAAGTCCTCCGATACAATGGATAAATATAAGCAACAAAAAAAAGCAATTTTATAATGAGTTATGTTTGACATAATTATTAAAATGGTGTAACCAAGAGTGTGGTTAAATTACTATTTAATTCCTTTCCATATAGATCTAGTTTAAAGCATAAAATGAACATAATGAACGATGAAATGTTGAGAATATTTTAAATGACCAAATGATAAACAGAACCATTCATTAAAAAGGAAATTACAACATTAAAGATATGAATATAAGCAAGGAAAAAATAATCTGTTTCATGGGATCAAGCCTCCGATAAAATGGAAAGATATAAGCAACAAAACTAGGGCATATTTATAATAAGGTTGTGTATGTTTGACATAATTATTAATACCGTTTGACCAAGAGTGTGGTTAGATTAATATTTTTTTCATTTCAATATAATTGAAAGCATATAATGAACACTATGCAAGATGAAAATGTCGAGATCAATTCATTTCATTTGCCCTTGATAACTGATTAAATGTACATAAACATTCACATTAAGAAAAAAAGAAATAAAAAAAAAGTTGTAAATGAATAAAAAAGGAACAAATAATCTGTTTCATGAGATCAAGCCTCTACTCATCACAAAGTTATTTATGATCATCTACAAGACTAACTATCTAACAATAAGCTCGTCTGTTATCAAGATAGGGCACGAATGTCACATTATTCCAATGCACAAAACTGTTATTAAACTATGAACTTAATTAAATTATTTCCGTGAAGTATTTTGAAACAGGAAACAAAGATCAATAAGGAAGGGAGGCATTCAACGAACGCATCTCCCAGCACATCGGATTTAATAAGGCACGTTTATTATTTTGTAGTATTGACTTTGTACTTTATTTGAAGACAAAATGAACAGCAATATGCTGATATCACCGCCTGATAAAACAAGAACGTATAAAAATAAATAAACTGATACTTCGTTTAAAGGATTTCAATTAATGAGTTATGAAATACACTTTACACCAACAAAATTATAATCAAAACAATAAGTATTATTAATGAAAGCACCATAAAAACATAAAAGAGCATTTTGTCAATGTACGCTGCCAACTTCGAACAAAGTTCGTTTTCTTTTCTAATTAATTCATTATTTGTTGATGAATGTTTCTGTTTTAATTCACTCAAAATCTTTTTTAAGATTAGATTAATTCTCTCTCTATCGTTATCCAGTATAATATCGTTTACTTCAATGTTGTTGCCACTATTTGCTAAATCATTGTGTTCATTTGTTCTTCCATTACAAATATTAATTTCCCCGTTCCTTTCATTAGAAGAGTCCAGGATGTCCATTTCAATGTAACGGTTCTCCCGCAAAAGACTATTTTGATCTACTTCATTCCTATTGTCTATAGTTGTGTTATTTTCTCCTGTATTCCCTTTATTCTTCTGTGACGTTGTTTTTCTTAGAATCTAGAAATGTTGAAAACACATCAACAGTGCTCAAGACAAAGAATCAAAGTTTTGCACTATCATTTACTAGTATACCAGATTTTCTGTATATCTGTTAATGACATTACGAAATTTTGTTATGAATTATTTTGAAACAAATAGATCAAATTCATCATTTTTAAATTATCTTTTATTTCAGTAAATAACTTGTCATTTAAAAAAGGTACTACCATTCTTGTGATAAAGTTTCACTAACTTAGATTATAAATGGATTAAATTGCTCGACATTTCAGGGTCATGGACATTTCATACCTATTATTAACTCTTTGCAGAAGAATATAATCTCTGTATGTCAAAATTACATTTTAAGGTCTTGAACAGCTGATTCCTAAAAACCATTTTGTTTTATAAAAGTATGGATGCAAATAATATATTTCACTTCTATACTTACATTTTGTAGACACTTAGGTATATGTTTCCTATTTCTATCAGATATCTTTGAAACAATGATTGACGCAATCAATGCGAACATCGCAACAAAAATGCACAATATGTTGATAATTCCTGTAAAGATAACGCAAAGGTTTCGTATATAACCTTACAATTCGTTTACAGGCTTTTAGTCACATCAAACTGCTAATTAAAGTTTTACTATTAACATATTAGCTAACGTGCCCTGTCAAGATTCATTTCAGGCACGGACAGTCACCAATGTAGAAGCACAGAAATATCGTAAGCTAGCTGGATAACTTTGTCGCATGGAAAAATGAATTATCGGAACCTTAAACCGAAGCGGTGAGCTCCATTTAAAAAAGCGATGTTCATACAAAAAGATGGAATGCTTTGTAGAGTGAACAATGATTAATATACATGTATTATTTTCCTATTAACATATATATAAAGGATATGTTCGAAAATGTGTTCTTTACCTATAAAGGGAATACTCGAATGGTCTGGGATTTCAGAAGACAAAACTATCAGTGGCAAACATTCTCCAAACAATAGGAATAGCCCTGAAACATATAAAGCCGATATAAAATTCCTTAAGATATGCATGCGTTGGAAAATTGTTTACATTTGTACTTAAAAATGAGAATTAGCGATATATAATGAATAGAATTTCAATAGGAATAGCCATGAAACATATAAAACCGATATGAAATTCTTGCATTGGAAAATACAAGTATAATTATAAATGAAAATGAGAATAAAAGATACAAAATGATTAGAATTTCAATTTTAAGAAACATTAAATATCTCCATATAAGAAATATTAATTGTAAGACTTTTAATTATTACCAAAGGTTTGCCTTGATGACAGTTTTCGTGGTAATAGAAACTGGAAAGGTACAATCATGGAAATCACGAGCATTGGAAAAATACACATGTTTGTAAGACATCTGAAGAAGGAGACATTTCTGTTCAATGTAATGACAATCTTCAGCTGGAAATATGATTCTTCTGAAATACAAGGTAAAACAAACACATGAGTACCTCCTGGTTTGCTATAACAAAAGTAAGATTTACAAAAGAGTACACCTTAATGTGAACGTTATGAATTTTATTTGGAGTAGAATATGATTTATCTTTGCAATCTTTTGTTTTGATATTCAGTATCAATCATTAAAATTAAGTTCAATTTAAGTTTTTTTAGATTAAGGTCATTTTATTAATGTAAAGATAAATGTGTGATTTGACAATACATTCATTTTATCTAATTTATTTTAGTCTGAACATTTGATATATTCTTCAAAGACAGGGAATCATGTTTTAAGCATTCAAATTGTAATTGTTTACAAGAATTGTCGGTAACCTACCAGGACAACATGCATACGTTAACATATTGATTTCTGCACGGGCTTTTCGTGCTCGCAATTGCCACTTATGACTGTCCAGGTTAACTATGTTTGGATCTGTGTCAGCAAGAACAGGAATGTCTGTAATACTCGTGTTTACGTGCATGAACTCCATCATCATTTTCTGTGTATTTAATAAAGCATAGTATTACAATAACTGAGTTATGGGAAACACTTTTTTTAAAAGGCAGTTCATGATTTTCAGAAGTATGCAAATTAAATAGTTCATTTACTCGGAAGATCTGATTAACGAGTTATATCACATAGTGATTTAATTATATATTTCATACTTAAAGTATGTATTTCAAGACGAAAATATAAAACACGAAATTTTAAAGTACTTGACACTTTATAAATGAAATTTTATCATTCACGTTTAATTGACCAATCAAATAAATACGGAATGTGTCAAACCTTGCTCGAGTATATCCATGAGCTAAATATCAAGTCGCACGTGTGTTGATCACGTGGGAACCATTCCAAAGTCACGGGACAGTATGATCGTGCATGCACGTTGTTTACGTAAAGTACAGTTCCTAGACTTGAAACTTCCACTAATTGATCAGCAACTGGCTCAGGAATTGACAAACTATAAATAGAAACATTAAAATATGTGCTTTTCAAGTGATTATAAAAGATCTTGAATTAATTTATTAAATTCTTAAAGTGATGAAACGATATTCTCTTAGAAGAATCGTGAATTTGTTACTTTTTCAAGACAAATTATTACTGAGATAACTGACTGGCAAGTGTACTTGCTATAAAGGAAACATTTTTCTGCCGTACGATTCAAACATTCAAAGTCTATACACTTCATCCTTTGCCTGTTTAATAAATGTGAGTAGTTTCAAAATACCAAATTTAGTAATGAAAAACATTATCAGAAGACATCCAAAGGTTTATGTGACTTACAAACACGAGTGACCAAACTTTATCTAAGACTGAATGTCCTTTTTCCTTTCTTTTTTTGTGGTTTACCTTCACTAGCATAATAATTACGATATTTTTCAAAATATTCTAAAATTAGAATATCATTTATTTTGGAAGAAATATACTAACGTGTTATGGACAGTTATATCAGGCAGCCAAATGGCAGACGCCGGTATGTATACTTCAGTGACACCACCATACTCTCTCGGATCCCAGGACAGTCGGTCATCTGTCCAGCGCTAAAATAATGATAAAGCAGCTTTTCATGAATAACTTAAAAGAACATTTTTTATCCGTTTTTTTTCCCCAAAACGAGCTATTTCTTTGTTTGCAATTGCTAACATAAATGATAAGTAAGGAAGACATCAAGTGTGGCAATATGTTTGAATGTATAATAATTGTTTTAAAAGGCTATATGTTATAAAAAAACTGGCACATTTCTTTTGCACAGGCAATTGTTTTACAAAAACCAAACAATAACTTTTGTAGCAGAGTTATAGCTTTATATCTACGTTAGCAAATCTTAAAATATTTCATTAGAGATTTAGCACATTTATATCCGAAAAATAGATTGGTGTAATTGTATAGTCGACAGTTAAGGGGTGAAAAATCTTTTTCAACTACAATTTGTAGTCGAGACCAGCATTATTTATACAAAAATCTTTTTTAAAATCGTCCAGATATATTCAATATAGAATATTGTTTCAGTATATTCAGGTGAAAGCGTATTTGTAACCTTTAGTTCTTATTTCAATACTTTTTTTATTTGTTAAGACCGCACTGAGACATATTGTCGTCAAATTTCACGACAATATCTATAAAGTAACTGTAGAACATTCATATAATTCAAGACAGAAATATGAAGCTTGGAATAAATTTAAAATTGTTGTCATGGCAACACATTAAAGTGATCAAATATACTTGAACAAATTTTGAGGCTTTTGAGCATTTACCATTGACAGGCTGATTGTCGACGATAATTCTTCTTTCCATGCATTCTGAAAATATATATTATATAACATTGCCATAAAATTTAACTGTTTTTATTAGGGAGAAAATAAAAAAAGTCATTTTGCGTATATAGATGTATGATATGGTATAATATGTTTAACATACCGGTCTTAAACAGGATAACCAAAGGAACATTTATAATTCCTTGTGAAGATGACCTGCATGTAGTTATCAAGAGTATCGTTTTCTAAGTCACTAGTCTCTAATGAGATCAAAATATATTATAGGAAATATAAAACAGAACCATTGATCTTTGTTCTCCGATCTTTTAAAACATATTAATATTTCATGGAGTAAATTGTACCATGCGTGTTGAACATGTCGATAGTTAATCAGATGGAACCACAATTTAGAATATATATATTTCAGATATTCACGGCTGTAGTAAAATTAATTGATTTATTTTGGTGACATAAACTTTCTTTTTAAAGCTAAATTGCACTGGGAGACACATAATTTGTACTAGCAATTCATATACGTTATGTTTGGTGTGTTCAATCTAAACATTAAACTCTTTGTCACTAATGATGTTCATTAAATCCAGCCCTGTGAAAATGAAAACACGTACAAAGGTTTTGATGTCAGTCTTATTACCTTGTTATGAACTGTGCTGTTTTGTAACAAGTCTGTTTAACTATAAAAAGCGGACTTTAAGCATTACCTCAGATAATTTAAGTCTAATGATCACGCGAGTCAACTTTAATGTCTGTCATAAACTGAATCTTCTTTATAAACGTAATTCTATGGAATGGGAATATTGTCTCATTTATTGAGATGTACATGACCTTGAACTTTAAAAGATGATATAGGCTTAAAAATAGTATTACAACGATTAATTGAACAGGACCATTATAAAGCGCATTTCAGCAACACATGATCATACGAAAGTAACCCAGTAGGGCACAGACCAGAATCGCGGTGGGGGTGGGGGCAGTGAGACCGTAGAAAGCGGGTTTATATTCTTTTAACGAGAGGGAATGTTAAGGATTTTATAATTTTGGATATTTTAGAAAAATCAGATACTCATTTCAAACGATGAACATAGAACATGTACGTATTTGATGTTTTTTAAAAACTTTATAAGAAAAATATTTTTATTAATTATATCAAATATACTTATGATAATAACTTACTAGATCGTCTATTCGAACTATCGCCGGGTAAACTTTAACGGCGACATAAGATCTTGCCGTCCTGGTCGGTAACACATGCTTTTTGTATCCCTTCTGTAAGTCGTCAAGTAACTGACTGATGTCTCTATATTGGGCTATAACTGAATTAAATATAAAATATTATAATATTTTCTAACAGTCATTTATAATGATAAAACCTTGAACAAAGTCAATCAAAACGAATCTGCACTTAACGTTATTTGTTTTCCTTGCTTCTGAGGATTTGCCATTTTTCAAGATTTTGCAACATTTATGTCGGAACAAACAAAAAGGTTAATATCTTCCCAATTATAAAAGGATAGCATTTCTTATACAATATTGGTAGACGGTAAGTTACTTTTATAATAATATTTACTTGTAAAATTATGAACGTTTCCTTTTATTCTGTTATAAATTTATGTTTACTAAATATATTGTAAAGGTTTTACAATGCATGTGTATTCTATGAAGGGAAAGTGATTAGTATTATCCGTAAAAAAAACCCTCAAAATGAATATCGTACATTTTTGTTGACAATCGTGTTTATACAGGTAACATATATAGATTTGAACATTTTAAAATAGAAAATTAAAAACGAAATATTATAAAGTACATGTACCAGTATATAGTATGAGTACTTCAAACACTGAAATATGATTTTATCAATAAAGCGAGCTTCATATTCAAACAAGCGGAGATTAAATTTTATAGCATGGTTTTAAAAACATAACGGCAAATGCCTTTTTCGAAAATAACCTAGTTTAAATCATGAAACAATATTTGTACAAGTTAAATACATCGAACTAACATTTTTAATAAAAGTTCAATATTATATAAGTGCAATTGATCAAAATGTAAACTTTCCTATCTAATTTATAAAATAATTTCAGTCTCAATATGACTTTCAAATCGAATCATTTACAGTTTGGTTATCTTTAATAGTACTTCTCTGTTAAGTAAATAAACACAAATCGTATTTCAATGGAAATGAATACATAAATCGCCGTACAATAATAAAAGTGGCCTTTGTCAAATATTATACAATGACTCCCGGTTTACAGTTTCCAATATCAAAGTTTTATTGGGTTTATAATTATAATGGTTTAAATTATAAATTCCTGACAGTAGCTTCAGCTCTAATAAATGACAATACCTGATATATTTCATGATATATTTGCTGTTTTTTTTTCATGTTATTTTTAAACGAATTCATTGTCCAATGTATGAATGTATGTATGTATGTATGTATGTATGGATGTATGTATGGATGGATGGATAGGGCGTATTTATCTTAATAACATATTGTGTTTTTCTGACATTGAAATTCATAAAAAAATATATTAATATTTTAGAATGCACGAACAAAATGACGATCATTTTGCAAACCTGTATATTTTCATGACTTCTTCAACGACTGATTTATTTAATACGATTTGCTTTCACAATGAACATTGAAGAGTTGCATATTTTGAAACATATATGGTTTTGTACAGACAAATAATCATACTTTACTTACCAATTTGAATACATAAGCACAAATTAATTGTTAAACCTCCATTCAAATACATATTCTTAACTGTACTACTTTATTTTCCCTGTCCTTCTATTGTGTAACACAGTCACTAAATTATCTCCGTATTTTGAATCATCCAGTATGTCCTATAACATGTAACTCCGGGTATAACCACTTATTGTAAATAAAAAAAACAAATTTACTTCACCGTAAAAAAGATGTCATTAGACCGTTGTTCACTCAAGCTTCACGTTTATTTAAATACTTTTTCAAACATGGTAATGTTATATTTTAATGTGTCTCAGCATTACATTGATTTTCACGATAAAAGGAACGTTTTCTCCCGTGTATGTTAACACTATTATACTCGCTGCAAGATTTAATGGAAAACTGGTGAAAATTGTTCAATGTCACACAATACATTTCTGATACTATAAAGCTCACTGACAGAAGCTGGTTTATGTTTAGGTGGCATTGTACGAGAGCTTATGTAAAATTGATAACCAGTGCTATGCATGCTGATTTAAATGAATATTGACATGTCTTTTAATCCTTTAAGGCTCGTAAACATAGAATAGTATTGAATATATTAATATACATTTCTTACACGTTAATCAAATAAGGCTTATCAGCAAACTGTTGTGTCATGGTCGTATTTAATGTGGTTCCTAACTTGAACAGTTTATCTGCAGTTATGTAGCATATACAAGTATATGTCGATCATGGAAAAAAGACTATAAAATTACTGTATGGATTTTACCTCATGCAATTTTGTTCACAATTAATCTATTCTTGAATACAAAATATCGGATGAAAATAAGCTCCTGTCGCATTCATAAAAAATATTAGGATAAACTAAACATATTTTCAAGCGCCACCTAGACAGAAAGTAGAAAATATGTATCTAGATTCCGCTGAACCTATTATCATATATGTTTGTAATCTGACAAAGTGAAAGTGCGTTTGTTAAACCAAGAATTATTGTTACAATTCAAACAATATGTGTATGACAATTCTCTAAAGATCTCGGAAGATACACCAGATGTTCTTTTGTTCTTCCAGCAGTCTCCGTTGAAACATCTGGTTACATTAACGCTATGAGATAAATTCAATGAAAACTTAACACGTGCGGAAAATAAAACAAAAATGGAATTTCTTACATTTAATGCTTGAAATGTACCTTTGTAAAATCGCTGCAAGATATTGATTTAAGACATAGAATCGGTTAAGAATTCAATTATTTTACTTAATTTGTTTTCATGGAATTTCATTGGAATAAATTAGTAAAGGAAATTAATGAAGTCAACATTTCTAGCTGCGTTAATGTCTACCCTCTGTATCGATAAAACTTTTTAGATCAAATGTTTTAATTTTATAAAATCAAAAATCACATATTCATTTAACGATCAATGTAATTTTTTGCTGGACTAGAAATGTAAAAAAGAATACAAACCAAAAAAGACATTTTTCTACAAACAAATTTATAGTTTTCTAATTTATTACGTGTCGTAAAAATGCTAATTTCTTTAAATGATAAAAACGACCTGAAAAAAACACCTTTTTGAAAAGTCCAAAATAATCCTTTTTTGTGCTCATCGTCATCAGATTTTTGTTTAAAATACTATTTATCAATTTTCAAATAAGAAAAAACACGATACATGTAATATTACTGTTGCTTATATTGAGAAAACCAAAAAAAAACGTGAGACATATCTTTTCTAAAAATATATAGTTTTGAAAATGAGTGCACCAAACTGGGAGATAGCAGCTGAATACCTTCGCACAAAACAAAAAGAAGCTATTTCTGTAAACACAGTTGATTAAAACTTCTGATTTGCAATTATGTACTAGTGAAGATATTATTAAATGATGAAATATCTTCTTTTTTTATTTGTTTAATAATATTTTATTGCATATTGCATATATAAATATACATCAATTCATTTACATTAACAAAATTACACAATATACAAAAGGGTTGGGCCAAAAGTTTTTACAACATTATCGTGTTTATCAGTTTCATAAAGTAAAGAAAGTTATACATTAAAGTAAATATGCATTAAGTAACAATACATTTTCATTTTAAGATGAAAAGATTGAAGAGGGAAGAAAAGAAAACTAGAAAAGAAATGTTGCTGTATCAGTTGTGTGTCGACACTACCACCAACCAATCCCCATCATCAATTGTTAAGCAGATACCCATTTGTTTTAATGAGCAAAAATAACCTAAAGTACTTGTTATAGTTAATTACCATAAAAAACAATGTAGTAACGTTTATGTAAACCTCTTTGTTTCTTTGATATAATTTTGAACATGCTGAAATAAGATTTTGTTTTGAAAGTCGTTTAAATTTTCAATGCCAAAGAGTAGCTTTTTAGTACTAAGCGGATGGAATTCTCTGGTGTTTGTAAATAGTTTTCTTCTTTGTATTGTATACTTTCGACATTGGAATAGGAAATGTTCGGCATCTTCTATTAGAGTACCACAATCGCATGCTGCACTAGTAGTAAGATGATTTGTAAATAGGTCAGAATTCAGATTGCTACATTTATTTCTAATACGAGCATGGTAGACAGAAGATACACGATCGCCTTCGATATAAAATGGCGGCACAATAGGGGCTTTATATAATGTTTTAAGCTTATTTTTGAATATTGATAATGTTTCTGATTCTCTAATATGGGCTGGTAATTCGTTCCATAGTTGTATAGAGGATTGAATGACAGACTTTGCATAAATTTCTGTTCTTCTTGCTATTGAGGCATAATTAGCATTATTTCGTAGCGAGTATAGATGTGAGGAAACATGTTCGACTGTTGGTGGGAATAACTGTGATAAATATAACGGCAAAAGGTTATGTTTTTCTTTATAAATCAAAATAAGTTTTTGCATTTTT